CTCGCTGCAGGGCCAGGAGGATTGTTGGCGGCCTGGAAATGGGCACCAACACCAAGACAGGGGGCTGCCTCCACAGGGGGGAGATGATCCTAGATCCTAGATTCCGGTGTTGGTGGTCACATTTCGGCCACCCTGGACGCCAGAATATCACCACCATCACCGAGATCGAGATCTTCTTCCCTCGGTGAAGGCACACCGCCGATATTGGTGTTGGTGTCAACCTCTAGGCCTGCGAGATTGGGGAAGAGGATGAGGAGGAGCTCAACTGCCGATGAGGGTCCACCGGGTGGGAATTAACGCTCGTGATCCCCCAGGACTCGTGTGGCCTCATGGGGAGCCCCACCGAGGGCCCCAGGGGCAGTGGCCACATGCGTCCCCCCCACATCCGTTTCGGCCCCCACTCCTCACACGCGTCGGGGCTCCATGGGGAACTCTACCGAAGGGCCCAGCGGCAGGGGCCACACGAGTGGCCACATGCGTCCCCCCACCCATGTCGGCACACCCCTCACACTATTCGTGGCCCTACAAGGGAGCCGGGAGCCCCGTCAAAGGCCCCGGCGGCCCCGCCCATTCCGTGGCCCCGTAAGGGAGCCCCCTACGAAGGCCCCAATGGCAATGGCCACATGCGTCCTACCCCGTCCATTTCGGCACACCCCTCGTAGTTTTTGTGACCCCATCGGGAGCTCCAACGAAGGCCCCAGTGGCACGGCTCACATGTGCCACCCGCGTCCATTTCGGCACTCCACCGAAGGCCCCAGCGGCAGTGCTCACGTGCGTCCCCCCCGCCCATTTCGGCAACCCCCATCATACGTCTCATGGCCCCATATGGGAACTCCACCGAAGGCCCCAGCGGTAATGCTCAAAAGCGTCCCCCCCGAAGCAGTTTCGGCACGCCCCTCGCACGTTGCGTGGCCCCCCGAGCGGCAGTGCGCACGTGCGTCCCCCCGTCCATGTCGGAACACCCCTCACAGTGTCCGTGGCCCCATGGGGAGTTCTCACGAAGGCAGCAGTGGCAGTGTTCACATGCGTCCTCTCCGAACCAGTTCCGGCACACCCCTTGCACGTTGCGGGGACGGGATCTGCGACGAAGGCCCGTGGCAATACTCACATGCGCCCGCCCCGCCCCTCTCGGCACACCCCTCACACGCCTCGTGGCCCCATAGGGAACTCCACCGAAGGCCTCAGTGGCGGCGCTCGCATGCGCAACCCCAGCCATGTCGGCACACCACCATAGCACGCTGCGTGGCCCCACGAGGGAGCACCACCGAAGACGCTGCTCACAACTGCGTGACTCACAACCGCCTACGATTGGGCACTCCGCCAGTGTGGGCAGCCCGCGCGGTCGGGCGCCGGCCCCCCGGCGCGCTCCCGCGCGCCAGGGGAGTCCGGCAAAGGTCCAGGAAAAGCCGCGCGGAGCTCAGACCAATGATGGCCATGCCGCTGTCGGTCCTCGATGCCGGGGCCGGCCAGAGCTGGCCGGAGGCTGGCCTCAAGCTGGGCCCAGGGAGGCCCGGAGAACCCGAGGGAGGGAGGCGTCGGAGGGGATTCGGGGAAGAGGGGGGGGGGGGGGCAGGGAGAGAGAGGCCAGCCGCCCCACCAGGTGCAAGGGGATGTGCGCCCCCGAGGCAGGCGCAGCTCCGAAGGCTTCGAAATCGTAAGCTCCCTGAGTCCACAGGGGCTCGGCTCTCGAAGCCCAGGAGGGGTGCAGCCAGGCCAGACGACCTCGGAACTCCTCCGGGGCTCCCAGCCCTGTCTGGCTCTCCTCCCGTGCACCCCTGGGTCTCTGACTCCCTGCCTGCACCGCCCTGGGTGGTGGCTGGCTTGTTCTGGGAAGCCGCTCGGGAACGGGCGCACACTTGTTCTCGGTCTCCTCCCACGGACGGGGCAATGCCCAGCTCATCGAACGGTCCGCCTCCGATGGCCCCGCATGCAAGCATGACTCGCCATCGCTCGGACGTCCATTCCCTGCGTTTTTGTTTGGTTCCGTGCGTGGTCTTTTTCGCCAAATGATCAAGGATGCTCCTCGATGGTCCTCGCCGACGGAAAGATGCACACGCCCGAGCGATGCCAAGATGAAGCGAAGCTCTAACACTCCACGCGTGCCCGGCACGTCACGCCAGCGGGTCCGCAGGTAGGCGAGCCCGGGCGCCGATCGGGAGACTGGCCAAAGCGAGCGGGCAACGTCCGTGTGGGCTTGCTTTCCCCAGTTCCACTGCGTAGTCGCCCTGTCCTCTATCCCTTCCTCCTCCCTCCAGGGGAGGCTGCAATTCAATCTGGACGCCACCCTGCGAGGTCAGGAAAATAAGACCGTCAGCACCAGATTCCCCTCCCTGTCTCCTTCCTCCCGTAACAGACAGAATCAGCCGAGGTTTGCGCCCATGGGAAGCTACGCAACGCCGTGCAAGAAAGTCCAAACCTGCAGGTTGGCGTGTAGGGGTCGGCTGGAGTTGGGTCTGGGTATCAAGGGAGCGGGGGGAGATAAGGCGGGATGGAATCTAGAGGGAACAAGTCGAAAAACTGGTAGTCCCACAACCCTAGTTTTCCGACGTGCGCGCCCTCTACAGCGGTCCAAATGAAAACCCCCCGCATTATCCTCTGAAACTCCTCTGGTCTTCTTTCCAGAAACACATGTGGAAAACTATGTTTCGGGTAAACTGAATCTACTTTGTTTTCCCCCTTCATACAATTCTGCAACACGTTGCATCTACGAATCGCTTCGTCTGAGTTGCGGAGTTCATTGAGGCCCACAGGAGTTTCGCAAAGGGACATCCTAGCTCGACCGAGTTCGACGGTGTGTTCGCGCAGAGACATCCTCATTCATTAGGATGGAGTGCCATGCTGTGTCGGATTCATGTGCATCGTAGGCACTCAGCTGTTCTGGAGACTCACAGGGAGGCTGTCTAAGATCATTTGCGCAAAACCCCCAACCAATTTCCCACTCATATGGTTTGATCATGCCCCTCAACAGAAAACATAACACAACAAAACATCTCAGGACGTGATACAATGTATTGCCCTAGACAAGCGTGCGCGACTGCGTTGTTAGGCCAGCCTGCATCACTGAATAACATTGCCGATGCGCACATGCGGGCCCAGGGAGTCAATACACATATGCATATGAATGCAGCGCGCCCCGCGCCGTGTGTGATTATGGCATACCTGCAAACAGTGATGATACCAGCAACTTCATTACTTACTAGTCGGACATGCAAGTACTGTTTGGGAATGCCCCTCAACCAACGTCTTGGGATATTGCGTAAGAGGGACGCGTGGGCATGCGCTTAGCTTGATGTCTGAACACTACCCACCCCCTTCCGTCTGATTATTCCACTGCCCCCTGATCCTTGTCTCCCGCCTCCTCCGAAGCCATTTTGGCTGAAGGGTTCTTGCTGGCACCTGACTGGGGCCAGTCGAAAGGTCGTCTTCAGATGCCGTTTGCAACTGTATGACCATTCATGGCAGGGGCTGAGGCCCCTGGAGATGACAGGCAGCTTGAATTGATTCTTGCTCCGATTGCGGTGTTCGCAGGTGCCACCTCGAGCGACGCACCAGCAAACAGCGGCGCAAGTCGAGGAGGCCGCGCCGCCAGTGGACACGGAGGCCCAGGCAGGGGACGGGCAATACTGCGAAGGCCTGCGGCTGCGAATGCTGACGCTGCTGATCACCACATTGTTGCCGTGGCCCGACATGCGAAACGGAGGAAGAACCCCGATCTTCAGCAATCATGTGATTTTTCCACAGTGTCTGCTCATGACATCCAGTGTTTTGACAAGAAAGAGATGGTGCCTCACCCATTGTGCGCCCGCCTTGCCAACATCATCGTTCATATCGGAAGTCATGATACGTCAACTCATGCTGGGTGGGCCGAGGATTGCGACGAGGATTTACGAATAGTCTATGAGCACGTTCTTGAAAAAGGCAAGGCGATGAACTCGTATGAGGCTACGGCGCAAGCAATCTCAGTTTCTAGATTTCGGTTGCCTCGCATATGTAGTCGAATCGCAGCTGCTGGCATTGTACTGTCTAGAAGTCGCCGACATTCGATCGAGATGGCTGTCACTGCAATTCGAGCCGCCAAACACTTGCTGTACGTGGACTCAGCCAGGTATGATGAGGCAACATATTACCTAATTCAGCGTAGCAACGATAACTTCTTGCCCAATGCAGTACGGTTGCTGACTGATGCGTTGGCGGTGGCTGCGACGGATGCAGAGACGGAGGCAATATCCACAATACTTTCTACGATCACCGCTGACGTGAAGAAAAAGGCTGGGGAGCAGAAAGAACGAACAGCTATAACCACCAAGATCTTGCAGATTGAAATGAAGCACGGCATGTTTGTGAAGCTCCCTTGCGTACAAAGCCCCGACGGTTGGCAACGCGCCATGCTGACTGGCCAGGCAGTTTCAGAACTTCACGTGCTCGAGCGAGCTGACACCCACTGCATGGTGCAGGCACTTACGAAAGCATCTTCTGTATCAGCGGCAGCTTTGCGATTCACATCTTGTATGCGGCTGGTGACCGCAGATCGCCTCAGAACAAACGATGCCGCAGAGAGAGTCTTCATGCAGGCCGAGGTGCGAGAGGGGTGGGGTCATCTGCGGTTGCCTTGCTTGGTTCACAAGATCGTTGAGGCGAACAACAAGATGACGTTGCTGGACAAGGGAGCGACTACAGCGTTAGTTCGATTGGTGTTAGCAATTAAGCCATGGAAGCCAAAGTTTGCAAAGGCCCTCGCAGACGTTGTGAAGGAGAGCGTCGTGATCATGTTTGGCAGATGCGGCGATCCAGCTGCGGCTTTCTACAGGCGCGTTGTACTCACGGTGTGTGCAGGCACGGACACTACTCGCAGCAAGCAGTTGTTGGCATACGCCCCATGGTTGCCGAATGGCAGGTGGTGGAATCGCAATCGCGTGGAAGTATATTTGCCAGACAATACCATCCCAGAAGAGCTCACGAAGTTGATGTGCAGCACAGCGATTGTTCGTGCTTTCTGTGGC